CAATTCACGTCCGCGTTCGAATCTGCTTTCACTCTGCCTCGAAGGGGCGATTCATTCCGGAAGGGTTTATATTATGTTTTTATATTATTTTTATAAGTTGATATATATTATTTTAAACATATTTTAAGTTAATTCCTCGGCAGAAGATTTGACGTTTACTGCATTTCTGCTCGCGCAACCGTGAAAGAAAACCGGATGATGATCTTCAAACAACAGACCATCAAACATTCAAACATTCCCTTACCTGCAATTTTTTTTTGCCCGGTCACTGGGCAAAAAATTGCCCGGTCACTGGGCAAAAAATTGCCCGGTCACTGGGCAAAAAATTGCCCGGTGACGTCTGACGGGATCGAAGCGAGGATTTGTCACAGAAATTATGATCGGGCCGTCAAATCGACGAGGCCAAAATAGCATCATGGTATTTATTTATTTATTCCTTTTTCATTAATTAATTTATTCGTTGTTCATTAATTTATTTATTCATTTGCAATAGCTCCGGTCTTGCTTAAGGGGTGGGATTAAGCCATTAAAAAATCTCCATCTATGGTACAACAATGCTTAGTGAGGCAAGCGATAGGCATCGGTGCATCGATTGGTCCATCGATTGGTCCATCGATTGGTCCACTGCTGGAATGGAGACCTTTCGCCAGTTGCCCTTGTCTCCTGCCGCACAATGGCCCCGTTGCGCAATTCGCAGCCGGATCGGCGTCTTTGTTCCACCGTCTCAGAATGATAAAATTAAAATATAATCATAATTGAATTTAAATTGAATTTGAATTGAATTTCATTTGGCATGGAGACGGAACTTGGAGGGAATGGCGGAGAGCCGGATTCGCGAATGTCCGCGGCGAACGAGGGCCCGAAGTACAGCGGTTCAAAAATCCATTTGAGAGTGGATTAATTCCTTCAATTCAATTCACTTGGTGCCGCGATTCCGTCGTTGATCTTAATTTGTTCTCGTTCAATTTCTTCTTGAAAATTAACGATATTTAAATTTGGGAATCCCAAATCCCAATCTTTCAGCGAGAATCGTGGCGCTTGTGCCAAATTTGACAATTGATTTTGAGCGATTTTGCGATGTGATACCGAACAGATATATTAATTAAATCGGCTTCGGCCCCCTTTCAGCTTGAGTCTGAGGCATGAACCAATTCCTGATGAAAAAAAAGCGAGGAAATTACATCTGGGTTAGCATTTATGGTAGTTGGTATTTGTGGCACTGTATTTATGGTAGTTGGTATTATGGTACGGTATTTATGGTAGTTGATATTTATGGTACGGTATTTATGATAGTTGGTATTTGTGGCACGGTATTTATGGTAGTTGGTATTATGGTACGGTATTATGGTAGTTGGTATTTGTGGCACGGTATTTATGGTAGTTGGTATTTGTGGCACGGTATTTATGGTAGTTGATATTTATGGTACAGTGTGAAATCGATCTATTTCTGAAATGGTCGTGAATTGACCGTCGGCACAGATGAGGTGGAACGATCCACAAGCAATTTACGAGACAGGAAATTTTATGGCTTAGACAAAGACCAAATCCTAATTCCAATACTTAATGCCTTCCAAAGTCGTCGGCTTATCATTTTCGGTTGCGACGACAAACGGTGGCGGAAAAAAGCAGGAGCGAGAACGAAAGAGCATGAATGCGACGAGACTTACGAGGGAACTCTGAGCCGTCTCGTTGAAGGCAGTCCGCCTGGATGTTCCCCAACCTGGGGGGAGGGAGCGGCGCCTCCGCGCCGTTCCGAGTCTGGGAAGGCGTGTGGATGGAATGGCTGGTGTTGGCAGGGAGGTCTCTGGGGCGGAGAGCGGGCTCTCGAGTGTGGAAGGTGATGCTAAGGGATGTGGAGACTGATGGCCTCCATTTAATGAGAGTGGACGGGTTGGTAATGGTTGGATGCATTATTGGATGCATTATTGGATGCATTGTTGGATGCATTAGGGCCTGCGGTGTTATTGGTTGCCACGTCTCCAAGGGAAAGAGACAAGTTTGATTTTTTTTTTCTTAGAAAACGTCCATATATTATTTCAATGAAATAAGTTCATTTACAAGAGAGAAAATGAAAGACATTTTGTTGTGGGGAGAAAGTGGAGACTTTCGTCAGACTAGGACTGTCTCATTTCTTCTTATAGTAGTCGTCAAAGTCGAAGAACGATCCTCCATAGCCGCCATAGAAGGGGCGTCCGTACCCACCGTAGCCACCGTAGCCGCCGTAGCCACCATAGCCACCATAGCCACCGTAGCCGCCGAAACCACCGAAGCCTCCGTAGCCGCCATAGCCACCGAAGCCACCGTATCCACCGTAGTAGGGTCGGAAAAATCCACCATAGAAGGAGGGGCCATACCCGTACCCGTAGTCGTTATAGTAGGTGCCATATCCGTATCGGTTGTATCCGAGGCCTCCAAAGCCTCCGTAGCCACCGTATCCTAGGCCTCCATAGCCTCCGTAGCCACCGTATCCTCCGTAGCCACCGTAACCACCGTATCTACCGAATCCTCCGAACCCTCTTCCAAATCCTCCGTATCCTCCGAATCCCTTGAGGAATCCAGGCGATGGCTCTCCGTGGACGAAGGCGACGGCAACCAACACCAAGGCGGACACGAAGAGACTCGAGCGAGCCATGCTGATCCTTGCAGGACGGCGCCGGGGGAACTGGACGACGGCGCGACGGACGTGCGCGTTTTTATCGCTTCGAAACCGCGAAAGTCCGGATCTCGCCCGCCATTGTTCTTCCCTCTCTCTCTCCCTCTCGTCGCCCTTCCGAGAACCGCCGCGATTGAATGCCGCCTCCTTGCGTCATCGGTGGCGGAACTTTTTCTCTCCGCGGATTTATCGCGGGGATCGCCGAGCCCCCATTTCCACGATCCGGTCCTCCTCCGTCAAGCGTTTCATTTTTTTTTTGCATTCCATGTTTTGCCAACTTTGCACATTTTCCAATGTAAAATTTAGCATGCCATTATTTGGCCGTGATGACGCCGTGCCACCTTCGACGCAATTAGGAATAGCTAAGAGCAGCTGATGAATTTCTCTGCAATTAAATTACTGAAACCTCAGATTTGCATAGTATTATCACTTTCCTCGTCGAATTCCGTCGCGATCGAATGGATTTTTTTTTTTCGTCGGCCGAGAGAAAGCAGTGCGGCGAGAGAAAAATATTCAAATTGAAGCGATTGCTTCATTCAGAAAGATGTCGGCGGGACAAAGCAAATGGGAGAGCCAAACACGCTTTGTGTCATGCCATTTGGAGCGGATGAAACAATGCACGCTGGAAACACGGGACAAAGGGGGATGAAAGGGGGACGAAAGGGGGGGAAAGGGGGACGAAAGGGGGATGAAAAGGGGATGAAAGGGGGCGAAAAGGGGCGAAAAGGGGACGAACATGCTTCCGAATTTCCACGAGGGATGCACGTACCACCCATGCATTGCACTCTTCAAATTTACTCATATCTTGGATTTAAAAAACGAGAAAGGTATGCTTAAAAAGGCTTTCCCTAATTTTCCCCTAAGGCTTTCCCGTGGAAAAGCGGAGATTGGATAATGGGGTCTGAGGCGGGGAAAGTTGCTCAGTCAGCTGTTTCGTTCGCGAGCTTTACCGAGGCGGAAACGACTCTCGTCGGTTTGGGATTCCCTTGTCCCCTCTGAAATCGCTTGGCGGTTAGGGAGGATATCGGCTTTGCGGCGAGATGGGAGGAAATGCTCGATTTTACGATATGCTATTGTTTGCAATTCACTCTTGCGCATCGAGATTTGTTCCCTGTTGCCCGGTGCCAGTTGGTCCAACATCCTAACCTTATGTAAACTACGGTTTTTATTGGGTTAGATTGCATCGATCGATGGGATTGTTCTCTTGCTGAGGGAAAAATGAACATAAAATGCTAAAATAAAGGTGCACAGTGACGGGGCGGTTGGTCGTCTCTTTCGATTCATCCATTGTCGTATGGATGGGCAACGATTTCTCAACGCGATGCCGCAACGGCATTAGCAATTCCTCGACGTTACGCCGGGATTGAGGTCCGATGCTACCTTGAATTGAATGGGGGCTACGGTCGGGGGGGTCTGACCGGGTAAACTTTTTCGTCTGAGTCGATGTGGTTCTTTGTGAATGGGTTAACCAGTTGACTATGTATGACTCGCCGTGTCACTGATGAGGGTGACGCATCAGCATGCGTCGTGAAATTATCCAGCCCTCCACAATTCAGCTGTATCGAGTCGGTATATCTGAAGCTGCTTTGAACACATAGGACACCGCACGGGCGTCTACTTCCAACAATACAACAGCTTGTAAAGTTTTTATGAGCTTATACAAGAGTGTTGTGAAACATGTAAAAATGCACGCATTTTCTGTTTTCAGGCATATCAGCAGTACGACACCCTCAAAACGGTGTGTAGTCAAAGGGTTAACGATCCTATAACCAAAACAGAAACGCCACACTGAGACATCGAATCGTCGCACACCCTATCATGCACTTCTGGGGGTTGATGATTATAGCTGATAAACGCAGTTAGCAAGCTCTCTGTACGCCCTTTGGAGCGAGGGGGGTAATATAAATTAACCTGGCAATCTTTGCATAAGTAGGTATAGCTCACTGGGATGAGGACCACTTTCCAATGCTTTCTGTCTCTTCAGCAGGGAGGAAAGGGACTGTAACAACTAGAGGTGTAGTGAGCAGGCTGATTTAATCTAAGAAGAATGGGCTAGGAAGAAAACCAAGGTAAATTTTCACAAAGAAATTAAAATATGGATTGTGAAATAGGCGCTTAACTGAAATAGTTTCCCATGCATGGGAGTGGGTTGAGTCAGACAAGATATTGCTGTAAGCTTACTTTTCTTTCCCACCTGGTACCCTTAAGTCTAAATGAAACCATGAAAGCTCCCTCATTGTTGCAGAGTTAATTGAAAATATTCAACTTCTTTGCATTACAGTATGATGGGTTTGTGTGGATGGGAATTCAGAATGCAGATGCTAAAATTCAATTGGTATTGAATAAGCCTGTATCAAAGCATAAACAATCTTTGTGATTCATTGAAGCCCTCGTGCAACAATTGATACATCATCCCCGATAAAATCATGCCAAAATATAATGCACGGAATGAGAAGGCCAGGAGATATTTACATAGATGATTTCTTGTAATTGAAGAAGCCCTCGCCGGACTTGCGGCCGAGCTTCCCGTCGGCCACCATCTTCTGGAGAAGGGGAACCGGCTTGAACAGCGGATTCTCCGGGTAGTCCTTGTGCCAACCTGGAAGGAGGAGGAGAATGAGGACATTACATCTAGATGAGGAGGAAATCACATCCAAGAACATGTTCAACTTGTAAGAGATGAGAAAATGTGGCAAGCAGGCACTTTCTGCAGATACCAGCTCCATGGAACCAGGTTATATCATCACCTGCCTAATCCTCAGATTTTGAGATTTACTTCCATGACAATATCAACTGTGATAAGAATACCATCTGGCTGCCAAGGCAACATGTGTGTAGAAGATGTCTGGGTGGATGTCCCGCTCAAGACATGCCCCTCGTGAAAAAATTCATAGGTATTCATTGCATCCCAGGTCGATTCTTTGAACTTTACATATTTTGGAATGTTTCAATAGAGGCAAAATCACCTGATAACATAATAAGATTAAGAAGTAAAATTAGAAAGTCTCCTTACTGATACTTTTAGCTGGTTATGTGAATTCATATTTTCATTGGGTGAGAATATCATTAAGCAGCTAATAGCAATTTTCTATTTTAAATTAGGGAATTTTTAGTAAAGTTAGTTTCCCAATTTATATAAGACTTTCCCCTTTTTTTTTTACTAGACTGAACAACTTTGGATTAAGTCTAAAGCTCCAAAATTACAATAAAACAGGATTATCTGGAATGTACACACTTAATATCCATGTGAATCTGAGTCAATTAATTTTCTTCATTCCTCAAGAAGAAGAGTGTCAAGCGTACCATCAATGATGAACATGCAGGTGTCAAGACCAACATAATCAGCCAACTCGAAGGGTCCCATCGGATATCCAGCCCCGAGCTTCATTGCACTGTCTATGTCCTGTGCTGATGCATCCCCTGGAATTCCAAGCGTAGCATAAGAGCTTATACGTCCAAGCTAGACAAAGGCAATGCTGCGCTGTCTTTGAGCTTTTGCTAAAGCATGAAATGCAAAATGAAAATGAATTGCACAAGGCATGTTCTCATTCTTCAAGGCAACTTCATGCATAACATATATCTATGGTCTACATCAAGTTGGCAGAAAACCTGAAAACAAGAGAATCAATGACCACAGTTCTCCTGCATCTGCCACAACTCCATATCAAACGCTTTCAGGTAACTGAATGGGAAGGAAAACACAACTAAAGCCAACCTCTCTCGAGCATGCGTGTGGCCTCCATCATGTAGGGCACAAGGAGGCGATTCACAATGAATCCTGGCGTGTCCTTGCACTCCACAGTGTGTTTTCCCATTGCCTTCCCAAATTCAAGCAATTTCTTATACGTCTCATCAGATGTCTCCGGGATGCGGATCACCTGGAGGAAGAGATTTTTGCACAATGGCTAACAGGGTAACTCCATAGGCTTAGTCAAGTCTACTTTTTGGGGAGTCCACAGACCTCCAGAAGTTTCATCATGGGTACAGGATTGAAGAAATGGAGACCTCCAAAGCGGTCCTTGCGAGACGTCACCTCTGCTATCTTTCCGATTGGCAGGGAAGATGTGTTTGAGGCAAAAATTGTGTGCTGGGGTGCTGCCTGTTTATACAGAATCCCCAATTAGTGTCTAATGATGAGATTTTCAATTTTTTTTGACAATAGCTCATTCAGTCTTCCTTTACATGGGAATATAAGTACTTTATTGAATTAAAGAAGTTGACCAATCGAGAGAAACAGTCATGAAAAATACAAGCAAAATACCATAGCAGGTACTTACACCATGGCATGAAGATGACAATGCATTTGTAGACCCACCTGATCCAGTTCCCTGAAAAGCTTATGTTTCACATCCATATTCTCCACGATGGCTTCGATGACGAGGTCGGTATCCTTGACGGCTTCCTTGATGTTGACGGTGGGTTTGATGTGGCTCAAGGCATCCTCCAAGAATTTCTTACCTGCCTGTTGGACAAGACAAATTTTAATCAGCCATGGAACTTCATCAACCATGCAGACCAACATCACCACTAACATCAGGCCAACTTTGGCATTTGAAACTGAACGGCAACAGGGCAAGATCACTCTAGTTTTTAGAATTCTGTTTCATTCTACAACATATTGTCCAAGTTTGGGCTTCCTAGGTTTCTTTGAATCTCTCAAGAAACAAACAAGGTCCAAGTCTGTCCTTTCCTGTTGTCAGGTCTGTTGCCAGGCAGAGCATCACCTTCTGGATGCAGTAAATGTCTCTCCCATCCCCAATACAGACTGGAGTGAAAGATATAAGATATAGAGTTAGATGGATCCTCCCAAGACCCATCATTTCCTGCCCTTAGGAAATTTCATGGAGTGACTAATTATCCTGCAGAACCAATGCCTTCATCCCATGCCCAGGACTATAATATATTAATCAAATTTTTTTAAAGGGAATTGATCATGAGCCACTGCACCATATATTCTTCATCATGATATATTCCCCTTGATTTTCACTTTGGAGGGAGAGCACAAGTCCCCATCCTCCTCAGAGTCAGAGTAAAAGGGCTTACGAGATGCAAAATCTTGGCCTAATGTGACAGCAGTGAAAAACTCCTCCCCTTTGGCATAAAAAAACACCATTTTTGATGCTGAGTGAAAATACAAGGATATGAAATAGATGCAAAAATTCAGCCACAAGGAGACTGAAGCTCAGGTGGAGCCTCAAATCACAAAGACACTCAAGGGGGGCCTGTCCCTACTTTGTGTTCAGCATGAAAGTGGATCCTTGAAAAGCTGTAGGTCCTGAATTTTCAAGATTCAAGATAGTTAGTGATATCAAGAGGCGACTTCACCCATTTCGATATCACGTGTCAAGGTCGAGCATTCCTTAATTTTAGGGTAGGCCAAACCCTCTTAAAGCTAAATATTTTGAATTTCCTTGAAACCCATTCAAAACCTTTCCAACAACTTAAAGAATTGTTATTAAGCATACTTTTAGGTACTGGACTTAGAGGTACTGCAGGATTAAATGCTTCAAACCAGCATGGCTGCACAATCTGAGGCTAGTCATATTCTCATGTAGGATATATAAAAGAAGTCTGCTATGCCGAAAGATGCTGCAAAACAGAATGCAAAATAACAGGTGGCTTAGAATCAAACGATTTCCACTGGTTATGTTCTAGCCTATAACCTTGATATACAGGCCTATATAAAATAGTAAGGCCTAACCATTATATATGCAACAATAACTTTCAACATGGTCTCTATTTTGCTCCAGTTAATTTTTTTCTCCAACTGCTCAGAGACTGAAGTCACAGAGATGATAGGAAAGAAACTGAAGGCATTTCATCCTTCCAGTTTTTCCCGTTTTAAACCCATTAAGCAAAAACAACCAGAAATTTATTTGAAATTAGCTTAATATAAGGCCTACACTGCCTAATTTTTCTCGAAACGGGATGCATTCAGACGACAACACTCACAGCCTCATCGTTTGCAAACTTCTTCTTCCCCACCCGAGCCAGGCTGGCCTGGATGCTCTTCACGGACTTCTGCAGGATGTCCTCTGAAGTATCCACCATTGTCACTTTGTGGCCAGTTGTTGCAGCCACCTGAAGAGACAAAGTGAGATGGATGGAACAGGACTAAAAAATAAAATGATTAGGCTAATAATATCAGACAAAAATTCCCTTACAGTCATTCTAGCATAGGCTTCGTTGTGGCCCAAACTGGGTTCTAACGTTATATTGTCCCCAGGGCCAACCCTGAGCTAGCCTAATGCATGAAATTTAGTTCATTTCTTCTCAACCAAAGTTTTCAACGCCAAAGAGTAAAATGACATGTAGTTTAAAACGCAAAAAACATTGAAGCAATTGTGAATTACCAATAAAATGAAAACATCCCCAACAGATTAAGTTCGAAGAAAGGCAACAGCCCCAAGAGATTCAGTCGAAAACGCCATCTCATCACGGAAACAGACGAATCGTTCCCTCACCTGAGCGATGCCACTGCCCATCAATCCTCCGCCGATGACCGTAATCTTCTTGATCATATTGGCGGCCGAGGTGGAAAACCTGGAGACTTGCGTGAGCTGAGCCATAAGAGCCGGTTCCAGAACAGATCGAACGCGGCCGGGTGCAGACGCTGCGAATGGAAGACTGGATGTCACGTGGCCGTGGGGATGTCCATCTTGCCGTGACGTCACAGGCATAGACTGCAGTAGAGTCCTCCACCGGACCGGTAATTTTTACGTTTCCCTTTATCAACAGGTAGATATCTAAGGAACCGAGGTCAAAAATATTTACGATGTTATAGCTTCCACATTTTATGAAACATTGGTCAAAAATTAATAAAAATCGGAGAAAGTAATGCTTCATGACGGGTTGACTCGACGTCACCCCACCACCCACATGGCAGCGAGCCGGCGGTCCTTTCCCTCGCTATCAGCTAGGTGGCTACTCCCCTTAGCACGAAGCTCCTCGCTGGATCGAGTCTTTCGAGAGAGGGTCGAATGGTTCGCTCCCGCCAGGATGATGACTAGGTGCTAATGCATCGTCCACATCTCTTCGTCTTGCGGAGGCGGGAGCGCGCTCGAGTAATCGCCTCTCGCTGCCTCAAGTCTTACCTAAGGGTCCTTGCCTCAGGGTCACAAGAAGTAAGAACTCGCCCTTTCGGTTCGTAATATGGCATCCGTTTAGCAGTGGCCATGGACACTATCCGGAGTGCGTTTCGCACTGTTCTTTTTTGTAATATTATAACTATAACGGTATATATTGAAGAAAATAATATTTGCAAAGTATCTGTTGAAAAGATCCGGCAAGAAATTCCCATTCGTGTCTTCTAAATTTGTTTACTTCCGATATGTAATTATAGCTGGAAAGACAGAGTCTCATTATCCTTCGATAGAGCGAACCAGTTAGCATAATTGCCTTAAGGAAAAGCAAATCTGAGGACGCCACGGAAGTAGAGTTACCAGTTAAAAAAAAAAAAAGAGAAAAGGACAGATCAAAAGGCTTCATTCACAAGGTCATTCGCATGATTGGACGCATGGCGGCGCGAGAGATTTCACACAAAACGAAGAAGATTCTCGAAGAAGGGGTAACACTCTTGAACCGTATTCACGGCTGGAGCTTAGGGGAGCCGTTCTTCCTTGGCGATATACGATTGGGAAGGGATAGGAACGGGATAAGCAATTCCTTGAATTCCCTTCTGTCGTGGCTGACCGTCTGTTACGACAGACATTGCAGGAGTTGAAATGCGTCAACCTCAAAAACTCATTAGAACATCAGTGACAGGTGCGACAACCTCGTCGACTTGCACAGTAAAAGCGTGTGAGCGACAACGCAGAGAGAAACACTGCAAGTGGCCGGGAGCGCCGACTGCTTTCCGTGTCATTCTGGTCCCTTGCAGCTGGCTCCTCGTCGACGCCGCATTCCAATGGAGAACTCGACGAGAAACACGAGACAGGCGATTGCCTCCGCAGACGCGATGAGGTAGAAAGCCCCGAAGAGATGAGACAACCCCCACGGTGAGAAATCTTCCACGCGCTGCAACTCGCAGTAGCTTTCCCTCCGGGTGACGATATCCTTGACGTGGCGTAGCAAGATCCGGAATTGCGCCATCTCGCGCCAGTGCTTCACGATACCCGCATCCACGAGCCGACGGATGACCCGGTCGAAGGCCTC